CCTCCGGCTCCCCCACCTCCACCCGCTCCCCCAGCTCCACCGGCTCCACCGGCTCCACCAGCTCCACCAGCTCCACTCCTCACACGGACACTGTTTCTCTTTTGTTTTCCCTTCATTCTCTGGACCGGCCCCCCCGCAGGTAAACAAGCAAATGTGTTTTTCTGACCTGCATTTGTCTGTGTGTGTGTGTGTGTGTGTGTGTGTGTGTGTGTGTGTGTACCTGTTGATGTGCTATCAGTGCTGAGATCAGACAGTAAACCAGATTAATCTGGCATGGAGCAGCCTGTCAGCAGGACCGTGGTGTGTACAAGTGTGATTGTGTTTGTGAGTCAGTGTGTACTCCATCTCAGCCAGCCCACAGGTGAGCTGTGTGTGTGTGTGAGAGTGTGTGTGTGTGACTGAGAGTGCTGTATAAATGAATGGCTGTGTACGCTCCCATGTTAGATAATGTGATCACGGCTCCATGTAACGCAGCATGACAAGTGTTTTAGTGCTGGGGGAGACACTCTGGGGGGGGGCTGCTGTCTGTATGAAATGTGCCATGACAACAGTGTGGCTTCATACCATTGTTGAGGGAATGAATTCCTCTGCTCTCCCTCACTGTGAATGACACACACACACACACACACCTGTACATTTACAATAATAATCTGATCTACACTGACGGTCAAAACAACAACAACAACAGTTATTATTGTTATGGTTGTTGTTATTAATAATATTGTTCTTATAGAGGGACAGTCGTTCAGTGGTACAGAGGTACAGTGGTACAGTGGTACAGAGGTACAGTCGTACAGTGGTACAGCGGGACAGAGGGACAGTCGTTCAGTGGTACAGAGGTACAGTGGTACAGTGGTACAGAGGTACAGTCGTACAGTGGTACAGCGGGACAGAGGGACAGTCGTTCAGTGGTACAGAGGTACAGTGGTACAGTGGTACAGAGGTACAGTCGTACAGTGGTACAGCGGGACAGAGGGACAGTCGTTCAGTGGTACAGAGGTACAGTGGTACAGTGGTACAGAGGTACAGTCGTACAGTGGTACAGCGGGACAGAGGGACAGTCGTTCAGTGGTACAGAGGTACAGTGGTACAGTGGTACAGAGGTACAGTCGTACAGTGGTACAGCGGGACAGAGGGACAGTCGTTCAGTGGTACAGAGGTACAGTGGTACAGTGGTACAGAGGTACAGTCGTACAGTGGTACAGCGGGACAGAGGGACAGTCGTTCAGTGGTACAGAGGTACAGTGGTACAGTGGTACAGAGGTACAGTCGTACAGTGGTACAGCGGGACAGAGGGACAGTCGTTCAGTGGTACAGAGGTACAGTGGTACAGTGGTACAGAGGTACAGTCGTACAGTGGTACAGCGGGACAGAGGGACAGTCGTTCAGTGGTACAGAGGTACAGTGGTACAGTGGTACAGAGGTACAGTCGTACAGTGGTACAGCGGGACAGAGGGACAGTCGTTCAGTGGTACAGAGGTACAGTGGTACAGTGGTACAGAGGTACAGTCGTACAGTGGTACAGCGGGACAGAGGGACAGTCGTTCAGTGGTACAGAGGTACAGTGGTACAGTGGTACAGAGGTACAGTCGTACAGTGGTACAGCGGGACAGAGGGACAGTCGTTCAGTGGTACAGAGGTACAGTGGTACAGTGGTACAGTGGTACAGAGGTACAGTCGTACAGTGGTACAGCGGGACAGAGGGACAGTCGTTCAGTGGTACAGAGGTACAGTGGTACAGTGGTACAGTGGTACAGAGGTACAGTCGTACAGTGGTACAGCGGGACAGAGGGACAGTCGTTCAGTGGTACAGAGGTACAGTGGTACAGTGGTACAGTGGTACAGAGGTACAGTCGTACAGTGGTACAGCGGGACAGAGGGACAGTCGTTCAGTGGTACAGAGGTACAGTGGTACAGTGGTACAGAGGTACAGTCGTACAGTGGTACAGCGGTACAGTGGTACAGTTGTACAGAGGTACAGTGGTACAGCGGTACAGGGGTACAGGGGTGAGAGGTTGAAATACTGAAGTCTTGTTGCATGTAGGTCTACACACTGACCTACATTTACAGCTGGGGATATTATTATTATTATTATTATAAGTTAAATCAAACACACAGAGCAGAGCATAGTTTTGGACCTGGTTAGAACCGGTTTTCTGTCACTGTACTGGACAGAACAGACCACAAGTCTACACAAGGACAACAGACTAAATTAAATTAAATTAAATTAGATTGAATTAAAATAAATTAAAAGACTGTCTGTTCCTCTGTGGTTCACTCTACTCAGAAAGAAGTCAGCTCCAAACCCTGATTCATTTCATGTCAAGGTGGGTTGTTTGGGTTGTGGCTAAAAACAGATCTAGAGGTCAAAGGTCAGAGGAGTCTTACAGTAAACATTCAAACCACTACATATATATATTACTCCACATACACACACGTCTATGTGTCTGTATATTTCTACATACACATTCCATCAGAGTCCAACAGTGAGTTCAGATTCAAGGACGTCTGTGGAGAAAACTTTCGATGGGGATCAACCCGACAACCTCCAGGTTATCAGTCAGCCTGTACATCCAGGCCGACCCAGGGAGATATGGTGGAGGGTGGGTGAGTCTGGGGGACACTGTGTGTGTGGGTGGGGTTGTTGCTTCTCTCTGGGTGTAAGGAGCACACTGCATCTTCCCTGAACACTCCCTGACAGGCCTGCATACATCACCTCCCCCAACATCTCTTTTTCTCCCTCTTCTCCCTCTTCATCATCCACCCCCCCGCTCTTTCCTCCGTCCTTTCTCCTCTACTTTCAGCCTCCCTCTCACCTGCTCCCATCCCTCATGAGTTCTGGGGTCTTTGTGAACTGCCCACATCTCCCTCTGTGCTGCCCCCCCCCCACGCCCTCCCCCAACACACACACACAGGCCGGGTCTCCCTGAGTATCATTTACATCAATGATGCCTCATCATTACCCCTGCCCTACTTTATCTATCACACATCTGCCAAAAATATATTTATATATATATTTATATCTGTACTGTATATTCAGCCTGTTCCTGCAGTGTACACCTTTACTTTAGTTACAGAGGTACAGTCGTACAGTGGTACAGAGGTACAGTAGTACAGTGGCACAGTCGTACAGTGGTACAGTGGTTCAGTGGTACAGTGGAACAGTCGTACAGTGGTACAGAGGTACAGTCGTACAGTGGTACAGAGGTACAGTCGTACAGTGGTACAGTCGTTCAGTGGTACAGAGGTACAGTCGTACAGTGGTACAGTCGTTCAGTGGTACAGAGGTACAGTCGTACAGTGGTACAGAGGTACAGTGGTACAGTCGTTCAGTGGTACAGAGGTACAGTCGTACAGTGGTACAGTCGTTCAGTGGTACAGAGGTACAGTGGTACAGTCGTTCAGTGGTACAGTCGTACAGTGGTACAGCGGTACAGTGGTACAGTTGTACAGAGGTACAGTGGTACAGCGGTACAGGGGTACAGGGGTGAGAGGTTGAAATACTGAAGTCCTGTTGCAGTGATGTTGTACCGTCGTCGTGTGGTTATAGGGGTGAGAGGTTGAAATACTGAAGTCTTGTTGCATGTAGGTCTACACACTGACCTACATTTACAGCTGGGGATCAAACCCATGACCTTCTTGCTGTAAGGCGGTACTTCTTAAATAGTGGGGTGGGCCCCCCCGGGGGGGGTGGGGGAGGTGAAGGGCTCCTCATGGAATATGGCACACTGGACATAAGTGAACCGCTGCTCTAATGCTTGAATGATAACAAGCCTCCAGTCACTAGGGGGCAGCAACTCATACAGGGGTGTGTACAGATAAACGGTACAGTTATCAGGTTCTCAATAATATTTCAATTTGTGTGGGTCGGAGGGGGTGGGGTGAAAACATTTCTGTCCCCAAGGGGAGGCACGACAGAAAACAATTTTTGAACCACTGCTGTGAAGTCACCACTTCCTCCTCATACTTGTTAGTACTGTGTTTCTCTAACAGTATTTGTAGTACTTTTCCCACCAACTATGATATAACTGGTTCCATTCTTTCTGGTGACAGACTCCCACCAACACAGTACACGCAGATACATAAATAACTGCAAATACTCCCTGGTGTACTGGTGTGTACTCTGGTCTGACATACATTTCTCATGGTGAGATTACCTTGACCTTGGATTATTGATTTACTCTTTTCATATTCTATTCTTATCAAAAGACCAGTGGGATCTGGAGGAAACCACACCAGTGGCTTAGTCTAACCAGTAGTCCAGTTGGTTAAACTAACCAGTAGTTCGGTTAGTTATACTAACTAGTAGTCTGGTTGGTTAAACTAACCAGTAGTCTGGCTCCTGGTGCTGTGTCACTGTGTTGAAGTGAGTCAGTGAAGATTTTTCTGATTTGAGTTCAAATCAAATGACGCTGAGCCGCGGTGATGACTGGGATCATGTGGGGAGAGAAGAGAAGAGTCCACTGCTCCACCCGCTCACCTTCACACAGACACAGAGTCTTCATTCTTATTAGAGAGAAAAATTGATTTCTATTCAATTCCGCAGGCTGGGATTTAAAGAGGATGAGGATGGGGGTGTGTGTGTGGGGGGGCTGCAGTTCATTTTAGAAAATGAGACCATGTTCAACTTAGACTGAGATCCCTGATTGATCTGACTGGGCTTTAGCCAACACCTCTGTACACACCCTGAGCTAAAGACTGGGTGGAGGTGAGTTAGCAGAAGGAAGTCTGAGATAATAAGGTAGGAGATAGACAACAAGGAACAGAAGAGAGAGAGAGAGAGAGAGAGAGTTTGTCCACCACAGCAGGTTGGACTCTGAGCTCAGAGGATAGAACAGAGTCAGGTGGGATTAGAACTGAATGAAGTGACTG